GTAAAACGCTTAGACCGTCTATTAAATCGCCTAGACTTCGATTAGGCGTTCTAGGTACTAGGCATTGGATCACCGCTCGTTTAGCGCCTAACGCTTTCTTGAACATTGGTGAAAATCATCAGTTAACTTTTGCGTTAAAAAAAAAACTGAGTCACATCTCTCTATTCTTAATGTCAGACCTAATAAAAAAATTGGCCTTTGAATTTGTTACAACAATACCTCAAATTAATGTACATAGGCACAGGTATTCCTACACGTTCCCGTTTCGATTGAAATCTTGTGCAAAGTCGAAGGCTTTTAGGGAAGGGCAACAGATACATGGCCACGTTTTGAAACTTGGGTATGATGTAGATCTTTACGTACACGCTTCTCTGAGCTCGTTGTATGCCCAAACCGGGAGATTGGAAGATGCACATAAGGTGTTCGATATAAATTCTCACCGAAATGTGGTTTCCTACACAGCTTTGATCATGGGTTATGCGTCTAGAGGATATATGGGAAGTGCTCGAAAGTTTTTTGATGATATTCCAGTCAAAGACGTAGTTTCATGGAATGCAATGATTTCAGGATATGCCGAAAACAGTAACTATAAAGTAGCATTAGCATTGTTTAAAGAGATGATGATGATGAAAAATGTTAGACCAGACGAGAGTACAATGGTCACTGTAGTTTCTGCTTGTGCTCAGTCTGGTAGTATTGATTTGGGTCATCATGTACATTCTCTGATTGATGAGTACGGGTTTGGTTCAAATCTCAAGATTGTTAATGCTCTCATCGATTTGTACATGACGATATCACGGAAGGCACTCAGATCCACGGACAAGGTTCGTCAGTTCGAGCTCAAGGCGCATTCCTTTCCTATCACTCTCGTCTTGCATTGTAGTCTGTTTCCGAGTTAATATCGATAAACGAGAATTTCCGATCCCATTACTGTTTATAAATTTATTGTCGAACTCACGGTTCAACAGAAAGGGCAACAGATACATGGCCACGTTTTGAAACTGGGGTATGATGTAGATCTTTACATACACGCTTCTCTGAGCTCGTTGTATGCCCAAACCGGGAGATTGGAAGATGCACATAAGGTGTTTGATATAAATTCTCACCGAAATGTGGTTTCCTACACAACTTTGATAATGGGTTATGCGTCTAGAGGATATATGGGAAGTGCTCGAAAGTTTTTTGATGATATTCCAGTCAAAGACGTAGTTTCATGGAATGCAATGATTTCAGGATATGCAGAAAACAGTAACTATAAAGTAGCATTAGCATTGCTTAAAGAGATGATGATGATGAAGAATGTTAGACCAGACGAGAGTACAATGGTCACCGTAGTTTCTGCTTGTGCTCAGTCTGGTAGTATTGATTTGGGTCGTCATTTACATTCTCTGATTGATGAGTACGGGTTTGGTTCAAATCTCAAGATTGTTAATGCTCTCATCGATTTGTACTCAAAATATGGTGAATTGGAGACATCGTGTGGTTTGTTCGAGGGATTGGCGTACAAGGATGTGATTTCTTGGAATACCTTGATCGGTGGTTACACTCATATGGATCTTTATAAAGAAGCATTGTCGTTGGAATTACACTCATATGAACCTGATACTTATGAAGTTTTAAAGAAGCATTGTTCCTGATAAAGAAGCTTCATCACAGCGAGAAGCTAGCTATTGCATTTGGGTTGATCAGGACTAAACTTACAATCGTGAAGAATCTAAGAGTGTGCAAAAATTGTCATGAAGCTACAAAGCTTATATCAAAGATTTACAAAAGGGAGATTATTGCTAGAGACAGAACTCGGTTCTACCATTTCAGAGATGGTGTGTGTTCTTGCAATGACTATTGGTAAAAGAGCGCATGAAACAGTAAGAAAAGATGGAAAAAATTTTGGAGGATTTTGGTCACCATTACAGGAGTTGCAGTAAAATAATGATGGTCGAAACCAGGAATTTTTAACTGTCTTTGTGTGATAGCTGTAAATTACAACAAGACTACTCAAGCAAGTAAAACCATAGCTAGTTAGTTACACGTTAGATAAATACATGTTTCACTCTATATAATAAGATTTAATCAAATCAAATTAACACCACAAATTTATGTTTAATTAGAGTCTGGAAAGTTTTGATTTGGAAAAAAAAATGGAACTATTCTGTAATCACACCAAGATTGCATCTCTGAAAGTTTCAACTAATTAAATTCTTTCTGATTGGTGAGACACACAAAGATCCCCTTCCTTTTCATATGATAAAATATATTTTATAGAATCAAAAGAAAGAAACTAAAAGAAAACTTGGAGAGAATTAGGCGCAAAAAGGAAGGTTAATTGAAATTTGTTATTTTGAATAAGAGAAATAAAAGAGGATATATAAATACAATTGTTATCACCATATCCTTGATGTTGTTTCATAAGAATTTCTCAACCAAATTTTAAATCTTCTTTCATCTCTATTTTAAAGTTAGTATCATACGAAAAATGAAGATATCATCAATTGGATGCGTCTTGTTCCTTATCATCTTCACCTCTATTACAATTGTTTCAAGTTCACCAGGTCATGGAGAAGTTGGTAAGTTATAATATTGTTCTTAATCATTTTTAAATGTTTATCAGTACATACTAGTTTACGTTGAGAAGTTGGTATATTTGTTAGATATATGAGGACACAAACTTTAGTTTATAAAGATTATAAACCAGTCCGTTAATTATCAGCTGGTTTTGAATTAGAATCCGATTAACCTTCGCATATTTTCACCCGAAGCGACTTATAATTTTAAAATGTCGTATATAACGAAAATATAGAGGACGAAACGGAGTTTAACTACGAGAAGGAAGGAGATAAAGGGCCATCGAAATGGGGTACACTAAAGCCAGAGTGGGCAATGTGTGGAAAAGGCAAAATGCAATCTCCAATTGATCTTTGGGACAAAAGATTTTTACTTGATCCTAATCTTGGATACCTTCGTAGCAACTATTTACCTTCCAATGCTACCTTAAAGAATAGAGGCCATGATATCATGGTAATTATCAACTATTAGCTTATTTCATATATTATTTCATTTTTGTATCATAATAATGTTTTTGGTTAACATGTGGCAGTTGAAATTCGAAGGAGTAAATGCAGGAAGAGGTATAACTATAAATGATACTGAATATCAACTTCAACAACTTCATTGGCACTCTCCTTCCGAACACACAATCAATGGCAAAAGGTATATAATATCTTAATGAATAATGTAAAGATTTGTTTATCTTCGCATCTCAAATTAATCCAACGTATAATTTTGTACGTACATAAGAGCCTAAAATGAAACTGATGCTAATTTGTGTGATCATATATAGTGAGTTAATTGGTACAATATTTTTTAAGGTTTTTTCTTGAGGAACATATGGTTCATGAGAGCAAAGATGGACGTATCACTGTTGTGGCTTTCTTTTACAAATTGGGAAGACTTGACCCTTTTCTCTTTTCGGTAATTGCAGTCTCTTAACCTTCTTAATTAACTAATCTCTTAATCAACCATTGCTTTTAGAAAATTACTATTTATATTTTTGTGAAAACGATTTGTTTTGTAGTTGGAAAGACAATTGAAGAGGATAACTGATACACACGAGTCCGAGGAATATGTCGGAGTGATTGATCCTATAAGAGTCGATTTTGAATCAAAACACTATTATAGATATATCGGTTCACTCACATCTCCTCCTTGTTCTGAAAATGTTATTTGGACGATTTCCAAAGAGGTACGTAAATTACTATATCCACAATGGTTAATAGAGATACTATATTAGTGCTTAATCAATACCATTAGAATATATATCAAATCAAACTCCTTTTTCGTTTTGGTTTTGTGTATATATATCCAATTTTTTTACAGATGAAGACTGTGACATTAAAACAATTGRACCTGCTTCGCGTGTCGGTACACGATGTGAGTGTCTCTAATCTATAAATTAAGTGTTCTACATAATGGTTTAAGAATTATCAAAGAAAAACGACAAATACATAGCTCTTTTGTTTGTTGTTGTTGCAGCAATCTAATACAAATGCTAGACCGCTTCAACGTAAAAATGAGCGTCCGGTGGCATTTTACACACCAACATGGCATATGTGACG